AAAGACAAGGCAAGGGGCAGGGGCACTGTTGGAAAGACTTCTGAAGCTCTACAAGTTTGTTTGTTTGTTTGTTTTGAAGGGAGGAATAGAGGAGAGGTGATATAAAGAGGCTCAAAGGGGCTGCAGCTGGCTGCAGCTGGGCTGGGAGGAGGAAGCTGGGGGGACATGAGGTCAGTGTGGGGCTGGGACCAGGCCAAGGGCTGAGTCTCTTTCTTCCCTTTCTCCCCATCAGCAGGGAAGAACCCAAGAGAGCCCAGTTCCTAGCCTTAAAAAAAAAAAAAAAAAAATTCCCCTGTGTGCTGTGGCTCACGCCTGTAATCCCAGTACTTTGGGAGTCAAGGCAGGCAGATCACTTGAGATCAGGAGTTCGAAACCAGCCTGCCCAACATGGTGGAACCCCATCTCTACTAAAAATACAAAAATTAGCCAGGTGTGGTGGTGGGTGACTGTAATCCCAGCTACTCGGAAGGCTGAGGGAGAATCACTTGAACCCAGGAGGCAGAGGTTGCAGTGAGCAGAGATCATGCCACTGCATTCCAGCCTGGGCAACAGAGCAAGACTCTGTCTCAAAAAAAAAGAAAAAAGAAAAAAAAAATCCATGCTGGAGGACTCTCCACCTCTTGCCATTCATCCTTCAGCCCCTGGAGAGGATCCTACACTGCAGCAGGGAAGGAAAGAAGAGTTGATGCCACCCACTAGGAAATGAGACAGTGGTAGCTGGGAAGTCTGAGGGGCAGTCCAGGACCCTTTCACTAAGTCCTAGTTCCCAACCTTCTTCCTTCATTGTCCCAGCACCCCAAGTGTTCCATAAAAGGTGAGCCTCAGCTGGGCACGTGGCTCATGTCTGTAATCCCAGCACTTTGGGAGGCTGAGGCTGGCGGATCACTTGAGGTCAGGAATTTGAGACCAGCCTGGCCAGCATGGTGAAACCCCATCTCTACTAAAAATACAAAAAAAATTAGCCGGGCCTAGTGGCACATGCCTGCAGTTCCAGCTACCTGGGAGACTGATGCAGGAGAACGACTTGAACCTAGCAGGTGGAGGTTGCAGTGAGCCGAGATCGTGCCATTGCACTCCAGCCTGGGCGACAGGGCAAGACTCCATCTCAAAAAAAAAAAAAGGTGAGCCTCAGGACCAGGACGGCTCTGGCTGGGGGAGCCAAGGAAGCTGCCCCCTCCCCCACGCAACACAGAGGAAGGGTGCACACTGGCTTCCTCCTCCCCGCCTAGCAGCAGCTCAGCAGTCCCTGGGCCCCACCAAAGGCCTGTGAAGTGGCACTTCCTTTGCCTTTGCTAATTTCACATGAGGCTGTACAGAAGTGCCATCCTCCCAATCCTGGCACCCCCACCTGAAAATACCCACAGAGAGACCCAGGGCTACCCAGTCCCTTTAGCCCCACCCAAGGCTTGAGGGGGTTTCCACAAGGGAAAATAACATCAGGGAGGAAACTCCGGCATCTATTTTCCACCGTCAGTGAGGCAGAGCTGGAGCAGGAGACAGGGTACTCCATCTTACTACCCCCTGGCAAAATCCCCAACATTCTTTGCCTTCTTATCTCTCAAGCTCTAACAATCCTTGTGCTTGGGGAAAGGGCCACAGTTCTATCCCTGGACAGATATATATGTAGAGACTACTCAGACCTGTCAAATTGAGGCTGATAAGACGTGAGGGCCCAGAGGGAGGGGCACTGCTATGAGGAGTCTCTTGGGGGAGGAAGAGTCACAGCCATGATGTTCACTGTCCCCTTTGGAGGTACTGATATGCAACTCCTTAATGCTGAAATGGAGCCAAGAGAAACCAAGTTGACCAGGTTTATATACAGTTGGTAGCAAATCTAGGACAAGGATCGGGTCTTCTAACCTCCATCCTTATGCTACTTCTACAAAGGAGAGAAGGTGAGGATTCTAACTCCGGCCTGAGAATGGACCAACCATCTCTTTAACCTCATTCAGGACAACCCCACCATAGTTTATTCCTTCAGAAAATGGACCAAAGGGTGGGTTGACTTACATCTGAGCCCTTTTTGCTTCTAAGTTCCCAGGCCCTCATGCCTAGCCCATCCTGGTGCATTCATGATTTAGAACTGACATTACTCAACAGTCAGCCACTCTGGCCCTGCCCGAGCTGAGAAGCTCCTCCTCTGGCCTCTAGCTCCTGGAGAGATGCCCTCCCCCCATATGAAATGAGGACAAAAGAGGAAGCTGGACCCTGGACAGGAAAACCAGTCTGATCTGGGGAGGTGGCCCAGGCTTTGTCTTTGGTTTCCCTCCTCAGCTCTTCTCACAGACCCCTACTGACCTCACTGCTAATGGGTCTACAATATATAGAAGGAGTCTTCAGTGTGGGCCTGAGCCCCCTTCTTCACGTCACAACCTTGACATGTTTAGCCAAGACTTTAGTGGTAGCCTCCTAGGTTGCAGCCACCACCTCCCTTCACCCCCCAATATTTTCCCATTAAAATCTCTCCCGCCGTGGTCACATTTTTTCCAACAATGCCTTTTTTGCAATTAGCTCAAACTTCCAATGGACCAGATCTCACCTGGGAGAATCCCTGTCCTACCCATCTTGTCTTTACCATCAGAGCCCTGTGGGTTTGCTCAGTTACGCAGAATACTAAAGTGACTACTGGTTTGCCAGCCTAGAAATTGGGACTCCTGGGGTTTTTATTAAGCTGTGATGCTGGGAAAGTGCCTTGTATGCACATCCTTCTCTAAACTGGGCTTTTATGTAGGTCCCTGGGATTTCTTCCCGCAGCCACACTTCTGTACCTCCAAGAAATGCAAAGAAAGACGGGTGGAAGGGAAGGACGGGAAGAATAACAATTCATGGGAGAGGGACGACTGTGACATGGGAAGATGATAGAATGGGGAACAGGGAGAGCCCTTAAATTTAGCTGTAGCACTTAACTCCCCTCTACTTCTCTTTTTTTTCTAGTGGAGAGAAATGAATACAGATGACTGGAGGAGGTAGATAGAAGCAAGATCCTCAGCATGCACCCCAAAAGCTTGAGGAAGGAGCTCTAGAGTGGAAACAACAAGAGCTTCCATAGCCAGGATGGACTGAAGTTAAATTTGGGAGGAATTCCGGAGAAGGAATAGGGTCCTAGGTGAGATGGGGAATATTAAGGATGCCTGAAGGCAGAGGGGTCAGTAGAACTCCAGAGGGCTTCCTGGTCACTAAGGCCCTGATGCAGACCAGGGCATCTGGGTACCCGGCCTAGGCAGGCCCCGAAAGGCAGCAGGAAAGGAGCAGACACCTTTGCCTCAACCGCTTCTTAATTCAAAACTAAAACAGTTAAGTTCGAAGTTAGACCAGCTGCAGTCTTTCCTCCAGAATCCTGCCTTTGCCTCCTCCCTTTATTTCCATCACACCCAAGTTGGTCCCATTCTTTCCACCAGGTGATGCTGGAACTAGTAGGTAATGGAGTCAGGGACCTTCAGGCTGTCTCCCGGCTTCCAGGCCTGGCCCCTTGGTCAAGCACCACAGGTTGGGGTGATTTTGATTTCCCAGGGCCTCTCTTACCAGTCTTATTCCTGTGTTACCCTACCCTGACTGCTACAGACTGCTTCCTCCTGCCTAACCACAACCTCACTCGCTGCAGGTTCCCTTCATTTTGCTCGTTTCCCTTGGGCCCTCTCAAGGCTGAGGGCAGTTATTTTGTCTGTAAGAGATAAAGATGTAGACACACAGACACTCTTTCTCTCTCGCACGCACACACACACACACGCGCTTTCCAGCTCTTTAATCCATCTCTATCACGGGGAGGCTGCAGTCTGCCTCTCCAAGCTAGGGAGGTTTGAAAAGACTCTGGAACTCACTAAGTCTTCAACAACAGATCCTGATTCCAAAGCTGGAGATAAGTGGGTGAGAGAAGGATACAGAGAGGATGACAGGCTGAAGGTTCAAGAGGAATGAGGGGTGATGGAAAACGCAAGGAGGTGTAAGTGTGTGGGTGCCAGAGCTGGGAAGGGAAGGGATGGGGCAGGTTGCAGAGGACTGAGATGAACATGGGGCCGGGTAGGTGAAGAGAGGTCAAGGCCTAGGTATGACTGCATATTTGGAGGAAAAGAGACTGAAAGGGATGAGAAGAGAGTGATGGCGGATTTCTCGGTAGAAACTAAAGGCGTGGAGGGAGACGATAGGAGCATGTGTATAATTCAGGGACTAAGAATGAAGAGGAACACTAGGAGATGGTTCTCAATCGGCCCCAAAAGACACAACAAAAACTTGTCAGGGACTATCAGTACCTCTGAATGAGAGTCCTTCTACCTCCAGTCACAGGGCAAGACCAAGTTACTCCCAAAAGAGCCAGGCCAGGATCTGGTCAGGTAGGAACAGCGTTCGCTCACTAAATACCTACTGCTTGGCTCCAGGTAAGGTTGGGACTCAGGAAAACAAGCATATAGAGAACAACTGGGATCGGCGGGGCTCCCCCAACCCTAACCCCGGTCCTCCTGAGTGCAGAGGGCCTTGGGGCTGCAGCCCGAGTGTGAGTCTGGATTAGCATGGATCTTCCAGGAAGAGAGCTTTCGGAGGCCCCAGACACCGCCCCTCTAACCTCGACAAGTGTCACAACTGCCAGAGCAGAGGGAGTGCCTTTTCCAGCTCAGAAGCCCTCTCCCCTCATGCACTTCTCAACACCCCCCGCAACTTCTGAGGACGCCCCACCTGAGTCCTATCTCCCAGCTCTGGGCTTTTCCACTTTAGAGACACTTCTCTTGGAGCCCGGGACCCTCTGACCTCAGGGGTCCCTCTCGGCTCCCGAGAGGCGGTACAGCCGCCGGGAAGCCACCCTCGCCGAGCCTCCACCGGCTCGCACTGGCCCCGTCCGCGCCCCGCCCGGCCGGCCGCGCCCGCCCTACTTGGACTGAGCCTAGAAGCTCCCGCCCGCGGCCCCCGCCAGCAAACTCATGGGCCGGCGCCCGCGCCCGCGCCGAGTCCTGGGCCGGCCGGGCTCCCGTTCCCCGGACCCCTACCCACCAGCCCCGGCCGGGCCTCACCTGGTGCCCTCCCCGAGGCGGGGGAGCTGGGGGCGGCGGCAGCGGCTCCGGGCTCGAGAAGGAAGTGAGAGCGGGAGGCCGGAGGAAGTGGGGGGGGCGGACCGGCGGGGCGGGGCGGGGTGGGGCGGGGCCCGACCAGGAAGTCCGAGGGCCGGTCTCCCCCTCTTCAGCCCCGGCCCGCCCCCAGCCTCGCCCCCGGCCTAGTCCCGGGCTCGCCACTTTCCCCCTCCCAACCCGCTGCCCCTGCGGCCAGTAAGTCAGGCCTCCCAAGGTCTAGGTCTCTCTGCCTCCTCCTGGCCACCCCACCCCTAGAGGCCCTACTCTAGGCGGTAGGCGTTCCTCCTCTTCCCCCCATCCTGACCCCACCAGCCTCCGCGGGAAGATGCTGAGAAAGGCGCCCCTGGGCCTGGTGCCTTCAGCCAGCCCCAGGAATAGAGTGGTGGCCGAGGCTGGGGCAGTCCCCACCCCTGCCCTGAGCGCTGGGGGAGTGCGAGGTGGTGGTGATTCAGCAGTGGGAAGGCCCCAGACCCCTGGGGAAGGTGGGGAGACTCGTAGGGGAAGAGGCGCTGGCGTCAGCACCCAAGGGAAAGACAAGATCAGCAGAGGCGCAGGCGGAGCCGCGGGGCCCAAAAACAGGATGTCGAGTCGTCGTTCAGCACCGTGCAGCTCCGCGCGGCGTGGCTCTGGGGAGGGGGCGGGGCGAACGGAGGACTTGGGTCTTCCCTCGCCCCCTCGCCCCCTGTTCTGCTGGGGCGCACCCAGGCCTGAGGTCCGGCTTGGGCCCTGGGGACCCGCGGGTGGGCGGGCTCATGGGCGCCCTCTGGTGCTTCAATTCCCTGGAGTTTTGACTTGAGAGTCCATATCCTTCGTTCAGCGCAAACTTTCTGAGCGCCTACCACGTGGACAGAGCTCCGTGCTAGGTACTGTGAAGAAACAACGTTTAAGACAGGATCCCTGTCTTCCAGAAGCTTTTCAAATAAGAGGATTGATTTTAGGAATAAATAGCTTAACCTGAGCCTCAAATCTGTCTTTGGTAAAATAGAATAATATTTCACCCCATAATTTTGAAGATAACATGAGAATGGGTGTAAAAGACCGGTTGTCAATGCATATCTCAAACACTAAACAAGTATCTTTTAAAAATATACGCTGAGAACCTGGCACGTGGCATCTGCCTGTAATCACAGAGATGGTGAAACCCTGTCTCTATAAACACAAACATTTTTTTTGACAGAGTCTCACGATGTCACCCAGGCTGGGGTGCAGTGGCATGATCTCGGCTCACTGCAAATGCTGCCTCCCAGGTTCAAGCGATTCTCCTGCCTCAGCCTTCCGAGTAGCTGGAATTACAGGCATGTATCACCACACCAGGCTAATTTTTGTATTTTTAGTAGAGATGGGGTTTCACCATGTTGGCCAGGCTGGTCTCAAACTCCTGACCTCAAGTGATCCTCCCACCTTGGCCTCCCGAAGTGCTAGGATTATAGGCGTGAGCCACCGTACCTGGCCAGCTGCATATATATATATATACACACACATATATATATATAATTATTATTTTTTTGACATGGAGTCTTGCTCTGTCGCCCAGACTGGAGTGCGGTGGTGCCATTTTGGCTCACTGTAACCTCCGCTTCCCAGTTTCATACAATTCTCCTGCTTCAGTCTCTCAAGTAGCTGGGGTTATAGGTGCATGCCACCACACCTGGCTAATTTTTGTATTTTTAGTAGCCACGGGGTTTCACCTTGTTGGCCAGGCTGGTCTCGAACTACTGATCTCTGTTGTTCCGCCTGCCTCGGCCTCCCAAAGTGCTGGGATTACAGGTGTGAGCCACCATGCCCAGCCTACTTATATTTTTTAAAAAAGAAATTTAATAGGAACCACATAAGTAATTTAAAACTATCTAGTAATGACATTTCAAAAAAAGTGAAAAGAAAGAAATGAAATGAATTTTAACAATATTTGGCTTAGCTCAACATAGCCAAAATATTATCTTTTTTTTGGAGATGGAGTCTCGCTCTGTCACCAGGCTGGAGTGCAGTGGCACAGTCTGGGATCACTGCAACCTCCACCTCCTGGGTTCAAGCGATTTTCCTGCCTCAGCCTCCCAAGTAACCGGGATTACAGGCATGCGTCACCATGCCCGGCTAATTTTTGTATTTTTAGTGGAGATGGGTTTCACCATGTTGGCCAGGCTAGTCTTGAACTCCTGACCTCGTGGTCTGGCCGCCTCGGCCTCCCAAAGTGCCGGGATTACAGGCACAAGCCACTGCACCCGGCCTCAAAATATTATCTTTTAGCATGATAATCAACATAAAAAATTATTGGTTATAAAAATTGACTGGATATTTTACATTCTTTTCTTGTACCAAGTCTTTGAAATGTGGTGTGTATTTTATACTTACAATATGTCTCAATTTGACTAGACACATTTCAAGTGGTCAATAGCATGTGTAGCTGGTGGCTACTGTATCACCTTCGAAAACAGAGGCTTTATCAGATTCAGGCTGGTGAATGACTATGTGGATGAAGTCTTTCTCAAAGATCCTTCTCTAGAAGCCTCCCCTGACCTGCCAGGCAGTGTTTGGGTCTCTCCTCCTCTTTGGTCCGGTCCCTGTAGCCCTTCAGACAAATTTCTCTCTGTGGAGGACGTGAGAGCAGGAGGGACAAGGGGAAAATCTCATTCCCATCCATACTCCATTGGGACCACTTGACATTGGGGTGCTTGGCATTTCATGAATAAAGAAAGGATTGTGAGCCCCATATATGACAGGATTCAGAGGAAGACCATACGCTAAAGCAGTTTCTATGACACCATTAAAAATTATGTCCCAGAACAAAAGTTTTTTTTGTTGTTGTTTATTGTTCCTTTTTTTTGTAGATGGGAATCTCACTATGTTGCCTAGGCTGTCCTGGAACTCCTGGACTCGAGTCATCCTCCCACCTCAGCCTTTCAAGTAGCTAGGACTACAGGCACACACCACCACATCCAGCTCCAGAGCAAATGTTTTTGACATGTGTTCCTAGAATTCCCTTCCCAGGACTTAAGAGCAGGAAAAATAATGGAGCTATGGACTCTGTCCCCTTCAACCAGAAAAGGTTCACTTTTATCTCATTTATTTGCTGGTATTCTGCATAAAGAGTTTAATTTTAAGTTTCCTGCAAAAAATATTTGAAAATCAATTTAAGGACATATGGTAAGAAGAGGGAGCACATTAGGTGCAGCAGATTGAAAGATTGGATTGGCAGCCTGGGATCAGACTGCATTTCCTGAGCCTGTAAGTGTCTTGGGCTTGTCTAGTCCTGGTTTAGGAAGGAGAACCTGACCCAGCCTCAAAGATCTCATGGTCTGATGAAGTACAGGACTTTGCATATGAAGCTATCAGAGGAGGAGGAAAGAGCCCAAGGCTGGGCTTTAGAAAACTTTAAGTCTGTCCTGGTGCAGTGGCTCACACCTGTAATCCCAGCACTTTGGGAGGCTGATGCAGGCAGATCACGGGGTCAGGAGATCGAGACTATCCTGGCCAACATGGTGAAACCCCGTCTCCACTAAAAATACAAAAATTAGCTGGGTGTGATGGTGCATGGCTGTAACCCCAGCTACTAGGGAGGCTGAGGCAGGAGAATCACTTGAACCCAGGAGGCAGAGGTTGCAGTGAGCCAAAATCATGCCACTGCACTTCAGCCTGGCAACAAAACGAGACTCCGTCTCAAAAAAAAAAAAAAAAAAAAAAAAAAAAA